CTGTCTCAAAAAACAGGAGAAAAAAAAAAAAAAACAAGGGAGGGAGGCGCCTGTGGTCCCAGCTACTTGGGAGGCTGAGGCAGGACACTTGCTTGAGCCCAGGAGTTGGAGGTTGCTGTGAGCTCTGATGCCATGGCACTCTACTCAGGGGGACAGCTTGAGGCTCCGTCTAAAATACTCTACTTTAGACTTCATGTATCTTCTTAGTTATTATCCTGAGAAAGTTTAGTCAACTTTCCACGTTTGATTAACTGAGATGTTCAATTACTAGTGGGAGCAGAATTCCTAGAGAAGAAATGGATGCTAGAGAAGTATGCTATTAACATTTTTTGCATGCACTTAAATAAAAATTTTGTTCAATATTTCAAAATACATTTTCATGAAACTATTAATACATGTGGTACAATTACACTGAACACACATACAAATGAGTCTATATATAAATGATGAAATCTGAGTAAGCTCCATGGATTATACCAACACGCACTCCTGGTTTGGGCCCTATAATTACGCAAGACGTCAGCATTTGGAGAAGAAGGATGAAGGGTCATATCCAAGTTATAAAACTAGTAAAGTGGACAAGTTAGTATAGAATTCTACACTAAATATTTACTTTGATAAAAATATTTTTTTCTGTAATAAAATCAAAATTTTGATTACATATTACAGAAATATGTAAGATAGGAAGTGAGACTCAAGTATAATCCTCAAGAAGAAATCACTGTTGACCATATGATATATCTTTATTTGACCTTTGGAAAAGAGTCATTGTGGTTCATTGAATAATTTTTAAAGTAATATTTCCTGATTTTTTTTCTTATGACATTTTAATAATGTGAAGTTTCTTTACAACAGCCTCAGGATACATTTTAAATTTAGGATTCTCAGAGCCCATGACTCTGTTTTATATATTTTCTTTATGATATTTTTAATCCTCAAGTACTCAAATGCTTCCCTACTTTTTAGTTATCTTTCATCAATCATTTATTCTTACGATAGTTTTCAACTTGTACACACAGAAATTTAACGGTATCACTTCTATTTTTCATTTAGCACAAGTGACTGTATAATATGTTACATTTTTAATGTTCCTTGTTTCGTATGTATTTTTGTCTGCTCTTTTATTATGTCCGACAAAAGTCAGTCTATGGAAAAACCTACATAAAACTTTGTCTCTGTGCAATTCTCGGCAACTTCTAGTGAATACATTCTTTTTTCAAAACTTACAATGGAAAAAAAAGGTTTTCCAAAAATTATCAAAAGTAACATTATGTCTGAGAACTGCCATAGTTTAGTCAAAATGTACCCTTTATAACAATATAGAATAATATTTTGAACCATTTGTCTAGATGACTTTTATTTTACAACATTTAAGTCTTCACTAGACTTATGAAAGAAACAATTTTCCTTTGCCTTATAAAGAATTGAAATTATGCCAAGGGCATAAGTAGACTATGGACTCTTTGAAATATATTTTTAAGACAAATAGATTAGGTGAGGCCCACTGGTTTCACAGATTGTTGTTTGCAAGCATGCAAATTCAGTTGGAGTCATTTTCTTTAGCCCATTCGAGAGAAGTTAGAAACACACAATATAATCTTCTAAATTTATGATATCATCTGAGAAGGGATATTCTGTGACTATAAAGTTATAGTTGCTTGAGGCTAAAGGTAGTGGGGCAAATGGTACAATTAATTATACTTTCCTTTGTGAATCAATTCCTAGATTCTTTGAATGCTGCAGAAGTGGAAAGTCAATGCTAGAGAGGCCCTAGTAACAGTCTGGTTGACTTTTTCCTTTCACCATACAGGAAGCTGAGACCCAGACTGACTGCCTGCACATAGCATGTGGTGGTAGGAACAGAGTTCAATCTAGAGCTCCCATCTCCTCTTATTTAACTCAACAATATTCCAGTTATTAGGTTCTCATAGACAAAAGAAATTAGAAAGCACATAGTCAACTTTGAGCCAAAGCCTCTTTCTACCACCAGCACATCACTTTACTATGATACTTCTTTGTGATATTTCAGATCCTGTATTATATAGATGCCTGAATAACAGAAAATAATAAAAGAAGAAATTGGGAGGTGAGTTAGTGAGATAACTAGAAAGATCTTGGTTCCTCGATAAGATTAAAAACCAGAAATATGACCCATTATATTGGAATTAGTCTCTTTTTAAATGTGGATCTGCTCTAAAATTTGACTCTTTTTTTTTCTCTTTTTTCTTTTTTTTTATTGAATAGTAACTATGTACATTAATGCACTTCCGGGGTACAGTGTGGTGTTTTCACACACAATCCGAAATACTTCCATCAAACTAGTTAACATAGCCTTCATGTCATTTTCTTAGTTATTGTGTTAAAACGTTCATATTCTACTCTTAGAAAGATTCACTTATACCCTTGTAAGATAAACCACAGAAGTGATCCCTCC